AGCCTCGTGTTGTACCTGGCCTGGAGTGTGGTACAGTGCACGCAGTAGATGGAGCAACTGTTCAACCGCATCACTGACCTGATCGAGGGCGAAAAAATCCAGGCGTACACAGAAGGGTTAAAATTGGAGATTCGCCGACAGGTAATTGTAGCGAGCTACAACAGTTACCGCGACATCGTGCGTGCTGCCGAGCGATACGACGCAGTGACTCGAGGTGCATCTCACTCAGTGTGTGACCGCGGAACGTTGGAGAAAATTGGGGAACCTTCCGAGGAGACCAGGTTCTCGGCAACAATGGTGGATGGTGCGAAACTTCCCATCCACTGTGAATTATCACTGCAGCTGCACATAGGGGTGCTAAGGTGGAAGCCGACGTTGCCGATTACGAACATCAAAGGCCTAGATTTCAACTTGGGGCGAGATTTCCTGAAGCGGTTCAACCCCGAGATCGACTGGGTCAACAGGAGGGCGTGCATCTACAACAACGGGAAATGAGTGGGGCTGCGAAGCTGGACAGATACAGGGAGTGTTACTGAAACAACACTGGCACGGTTTGAACAGACGGTGAACGAGAGTAACAAGGGTTACTTAGCACTAGTTATGGCAGCAGCAGAAGAGGAGAAGCTGAACACAGAGCTACCTGCAGCAGTGAAGGAGGTCTTGGAGCAGTATAAGGATATAATGCCCGACAACCTACCTGAATGTGTACCTCCAGCACGCACCCACGAGCACGAGATCGTGGAGGAACCAGGTGCGAAACCCGTCTCACATGCACCATACCGACAGAGTCCGACCGAACTGACAGACATGAAGAAACATATAGAGTATCGACTGGACAGACAATTGATCCGCCCATCCACCTCTCCCTACGGTGCACCAGTTCTTTTCACTCCAAAACCAGACGGCAGTTTACGGATGTGCATCGACTACCGCGCACTGAACAAACAGACAGTAGAAAACAAATATCCCATACCGCGCATCGACGACCTACTGTGTGAGGATCTAGGATCGAGCTCAGAAAATAGAATTGTAATTGAATGATCACATGGGTACAACACGAGGCTATATATAGGCTTGACACAAGGCCCCGTAACCAGGTGTTACGCGAAGGTTCCGCGGGTCGCGAAGCGTCCCGAACAGATCCTTCTCGAATTCGGTAGAAGGCAATTTGGTGGCAGCCGAAAAGCCAGAATTCGGTGCACGCAACCTAGCTCGCTGCTATAACTATAATATAATATAGGAAAGCACCTAGCCTAGGAAAGCAAGCCATTCATGTATGCCTATAATTCTCATATGCTGAAAATAGCATAATAAAGTAAAGGCAAGCAAGCATAGCTGGCATAAGCCGTCGTACTCTCACACGTCCCCCCCTCAAAGCTGGGTGGCGTGAGAAACACCCTGCTTGACAAGATAGTCTTTGAGAGCACGGCGTGCGTTGCCCATATAAGCTTCTGCAACCCAACTGTCCTCAGTGGGGTCGTTTCCCTTCCAGCGTATCAGGAACTCGAGGGCCTTGCCGTCGCGGCGGCGATGAGTGAGAACGCGCTCCACTTCGTACTCTGGTTCATCCTGTACGAGAGCATGTGGTGGTGGCGGTAGCTGCCGTCCCTGGAACTGTTGGTTGGCGTCCTTGTAGGGCTTCAGTAGCTGAACATGGAAAGCGTTTTGAAGCTTCCATGTATCTGGTAAGCGCAAGCGGAATATAACTGGTGTCACATATGCCTCAACGAGAGAAGGACCATAGAAGTGAGGCCGGAGTTTGGATGGGAGGTGAGACATGCTCAAGTTGCGTGTGTGAAGAAGCACCTGATCTCCGACTGCTACTGAGTGATCTCGTCGCTGGCGATCGGCATACTGCTTCTTGGAGGTCTGCATCGTGATGAGTCGTCGCTGAGTCTTCTCCCATAGCTGCTGCATGGTGGTGACGAAATCATGTGCGACTTGGACGTATGCCGATGTGGTTGGCTGCTGTGGTGTAAGTGGTTCCCGTCCGTAACACAGGAAGAAAGGTGTTTTCCCTGTGGCCGCATGTGATGCGTTATTGTAAGCAAACTCTAGGGTTGGTAACTGTGTTTCCCACCGGCTGACGTCGTCCTTGCAGGCTGTGCGCAGTAACTGTTCAACCACTTGATTGAGTCGCTCTGTCTGTCCGTCAGTTTGTGGGTGGTATGCTGAAGACATTGCAAGCTTTGTCCCCAACAGTCCCATGAGCTCCTTCCAGAACTTACTCGTGAATTTGGGGTCTCTGTCTGAGATGAGTGTAGCGGGGATGCCGTGGATGGTGATGATGCGGTCGAAGAAGAGGCGAGCAGTGGCTTCAGCTGTAGCTGTGGCGTTGGTCAGTATGAAATGACCCATTTTGGAGAACTTATCGACCACTACGAGGATGGAATCATGTCCCCGTTGTCAGAACATATCTATAGCTTATACTGCTGTGTAGGCTGTAGTGGGGTATCCCATAGGGGGTACAACCCAGTTAGGGTTTCATATTTGTACTGCTTTCATTCATAGTTCATCCATTCCTGTTTTCCTACTATCACATGGTATAGAGCGGGTCCTACCTTAGGACCGTTGTCTGGGCCCACCGACGCGCGCCCCGAGGCGCGCCCTTTTTTTTTAGCGACCCCTCGGGTCGCCTTTTCACTCGCGGCCCCGCCGCCTCCTCTGACGCGGCTTTGCCGCCTCCCCTGACGTGGCCCCGCCGCCTCCTTTAACGCGGCCCCGCCGCCTCCCTTGACGCGGCCCCGCCGCCTCCCTTGACGCGGCCTCGCCGCTTCCCCTGACGCGGCCCCGCCGCCTCCCCTGACGCGGCCCTGCCGCCTCCCTTGAAGCGGCCCCGCCGCCTCCCTTGACGCGGCCCCGCCGCCTCCCCTGACGCGGCCCCGCCGCCTCCCCTGCCGAGGCCCCGCCGCCTCCCCTGACGCGACTCCGCCGCCTCCCCTGACGCGGCCCCGCCGCCTCCATTGACGCGGCCCCGCCGCCTCCCCTGACGCGGCCAAGCCGCCTCCTCTGACGCGGCTCCGCCTCTGCTGCCGACGGCCCCGCCGCTGCACTCTACGGCCCGCCGCTGCACCCTGCCGGCCCGTCGCTGCTCCTGCCGGCCCGCCGCTGCACCCTGCCGGCCCGCCGCTGCTCCTGCCGGCTCGCCGCTGCACCTACCGGCCCGCCGCTGCACCCATCGGCCCGCCGCCTCTTACGGCCCGCCACTTGCACCTGCCGGCCCGCCGCTGCACCTGCCGGCCCGACGCTGCACCTGCCGGCCCGACGCTGCATCTCCCGGCCGAGCCGCCCCAGCAGCCGAGCCGCCCGGGACCCGAGCCGCCCTGCCGCCGAGCCGCCCGGGAGCCGAGCCGCCCTGCACCCGAGCCGCCCAGCCGCCGAGCCGCCCGGGAGCCGAGCCGCCCTGCACCCTAGCTGCCCAGCCGCCGAGCCGCCCGGGAGCCGAGCCGCCCTGCGCCCGAGCCGCCCAGCCGCCGAGCCGCCCGGGAGCCGAGCAGCTGTGCACCCGAGCCGCCCGGTCGCTGAGCCGCCTTTCTGCTGACTGCACGACCTGCCCTGCCTGGTGAGCACTGTCCCACTGACACTGCGAGCTCTTTCCCTACTGCTTGCACTGCGTCGCTGTCGTCACCATGGCTACCCCTAGTGTCCTAGCTTTTGACGCTGAGGGTCGCGCCATTGATTTTGAGGTCTGGTTAGACGACCTGCAGCTGTTCTTACAGTGCGACAGGGCTGACGACCTTTCTCTCTTTGACCTCACCTCTGGCGCCTCTCCTGCCCCTGCTGCTGATGCTGATCCCGCTGTCCGCTCTAAGTGGGCCACCCGCGATGCTGCTGCACGTCTTGCTGTGCGTCGCCACCTCCCTACCTCTGAGCGTGCGCACTTTAGTCAGTACAAGAGTGCTCAGACCTTGTACGACGCTGTAGTTGCGCGCTACTCCTCCCCTGCCACTGCTGCACTGAGCCGTCTCATGCTTCCCTACCTCTTTCCTGACCTCTCTGCCTTTCCCACTGTCGCTGACCTCATTACGCACCTCCGCACTAGTGACACTCGCTACCGCGCCGCCCTTCCTGCTGAGTTCTGCGCTAAGAACCCCCCCCCCATGTACATCGCTCTCTACTACGTAGTCGCACGCCTCCCTGACTCCCTTCGCGTCGTCAGGGACCACTTTCTCGCAGTCTGTCCCACCACTCTCACCGTCGACCTCCTCGAGAAGGCCCTCCTTGCAGCGGAGAAGAGCATAGTCGCTGTAGGTGCTTCTCGTGGTGACCCTCGCACCCCCATCTTTGAGGGGTGCTCTCCTTCCCCCTTGCTGCCCTCTGTTGCCTCTGCTGCTGCTGCCGACCTGCTTGGTCTTGAGTCGGTCGGCGCGGCGTCTGCCCCTAGTGGGAGACGTCGCTCCAGCAAGGGCAAGGGGGGCAAGGGCGCGGGTGGAGCTGGAGGGGGCGGTGGCGGTGGCGGCGGTGGCGGCGGAGGGAGTGGGGGTGGCGGCGGGGCTAGTGGCGGGGGTGGTGGTGGTGGTGGCGGCAGCAGCGGCGGAGACGGTGGTGGTGGTGCCAGCGGTGGTGGTGGAGGCAGCGGCGGAGGTGGAGGCGGCGGAGGTGGAGGCAGTGGAGGCGGCAGCGGAGGAGGCAGTAGTGGTGTAGGAGGTGGAGCTGGTCGGGGTGGTACCCAGCAGCGTAGCGGCGGTGGTGGTGGCCAGCGCTCGCACCGGCAGCAGCAGCAGCGCTCGCGGGACATCCCTTCGCCTCAGCAGCTTCGTGAGTGGTACGCTGGGCGTCAGAGGGGTGGGGGTACTGGTCCCTGCACCTACGTTCTTCGTTCCGGCGACCGCGCGGGTGAGCAGTGTGGGGGTGCCCACGCCACCCAGCGCTGCTTTGGCCGCCTGACGGACGCTTGGCGTCAGCAGTTCCCTGGGGCTAGTGAGATCCCTCGCTGGGATGAGCTTCTCAGGGCTGGTGTAGCGATCTTTGATCTTGATTTTGATGCTATCCTTACTGCTATGTATGTTGTGGATTATAGTGAGGAGAATGAGGGTTACCGGTGTTTTCAGCCCGACCCGGGCATTGGTACTGCTGCGCTAGGTGCTTGTGAGGCTGCTGCTCTAGGTGCCAGTGCGTCTGCGCTCTCAGGTACTGGTGAGACTGCGCTCTCAGGTACTGAGTCGTCCTCGTCCTCCCTCACTTTCACACTTGACTCCGGAGCTTCTCGCTCCTTCTTTCGAGACCGCACTACCCTTTCGCCGCTCGCCAGGCCGGTTGCGGTCTCCCTTGCTGACCCCTCTGGGGGTCCTGTCCTGTCTCACTTCTCCACTGTCCTCCCGTGTCCGGCTGCCCCTTCGGGCACCCTGTCGGGTCTGTACCTTCCCTCGTTCTCTACGAACTTGGTGAGTGGAGCGGACCTGCAGGATGGGGGTGTTCACCAGTTCACTCCTGCGCGTCAGAGGGTGACCCACTGCACGGAGGCTCGCACAGGCCGACACCTGGCCACGTTCTCACGTCGGCCGGGGTCGAGTCTCTACACCCTGACCGTTGAGTCTCCTCCTGTCCCTGCGTCTGGTCAGGTGGCTGCGTCGGGTCAGGTACTTGCTGCTGCGTCCCGGTCAGGTCCTGAGTCTGCCCCCTGTTCTTGTCGCCTCCTGTCTCACGAGACTCTCCTGTGGCACCACCGTCTTGGCCACCCCTCCTTGCCCCGTCTTCGGAGCATGGCTTCCCGTGTCCTTGTCTCTGGTCTTCCCCAGTCTCTCCCTCCTCTCCCCTCCGGGCCAGGACCTTCCTGTGTCCCCTGTGTCGAGGGTCGCCTCCGGGCTACTCCTCACTCCTCCCACTTCCCCCCGACAGAGGCTCCCCTGCAGACGCTTCACATGGATGTGTGGGGCCCAGCCCCCGTCCGTGGGCAGGGTTACGAGCGCTACTTCCTGTTGGTGGTTGACGACTACTCGCGTTACACCACAGTCCTCCCCTTGCGCAGCAAGGGTGCGGTCACTGAGGTGCTGATCGACTGGATCCGCGAGGCTCGTCTCCAGCTCAGGAAGAGCTTCGGCTCGGACTTTCCTGTTCTGCGTCTGCACTCTGACAGAGGCGGAGAGTTCTCTTCTCGCCTTCTGCGAGACTACTGTCGTGCACGGGGGATCCGCCAGACCTTCACGCTTCCGGACTCACCACAGCAAAATGGGATTGCTGAGCGCCGCATTGGCATGGTCATGGATGTCGCTCGTACGTCCATGATGCATGCGGCTGCCCCCCATTTTCTGTGGCCGTTTGCGGTGAGGTACGCGGCGCATCAGCTCAACCTTCACCCCCGGGTCTCTCGGCCAGCGATGTCCCCAGCCTTGCTGTGGACGGGGAAGGTTGGCGATGCGTCTGTGTTCCGTGTCTGGGGATCTCGGGCGTTTGTCCGCGACTTGTCTGCGGACAAGCTGTCCCCTCGTGCTGCTCCCTGTGTCTTCCTTGGCTTCCCCACTGACGCCCCAGGGTGGCAGTTTTACCACCCCTCCTCTCGTCGTGTTCTGTCCTCCCAGGACGTCACGTTCGACGAGTCAGTCCCCTTCTACCGTCTCTTCCCCTACCGCACTCCTTCCCTCCCCCCTCCCCCGGACTTCCTTGTGCCGGTTCCCCCCCCGGTAGACCCCCTCCCCCCTCAGGTTCCTGCCCCCTCAGGTGTGTCCCAGGTAGACGCCGTTGACCCGGTCGAGGTTACTGGTGACTCTGGTGCTGCTGCGGGTGCTGAGCCTGGGGGTGCTGACTCTGGGGGTGCTGTGCGCGGGGGTGCTGAGCCTGGGGGTGCTACTGCTGGGGGTGCTGGGCCTGAGGGTGCTACTGCGGAGGGTGCGGAGCCTGGGGGTGCTGAGCCGGGGGGTGCTGTGCCTGGAGCTGCTGAGCCTGGGGTTTCTCCTGCTGCTGCGTCTCGCCGGGAGCCCCTCTCTCCACAGGAGCTGCGCGAGTGGTTCGCTCGCCGCTGGAGGCGTGCTGCTGAGTCTGGAGGTGCTGCTGGAGCTGGAGCTGGAGCTTCTTCGACCGTCGAGGGTGCGGGTGCAGCCGGTCCCGGAGCTGCTGGCCCTGCAGGTCCTCCTGGAGCTGGAGCTGCTGAGGGCGTTCGTGCTGAGCCTGCTGCTGTTGGTCCTGCCGCTGGAGGTGTGGGTGGCGCTGGTGCTGTCGCTGAGGGTGCTGGTGCTGTCCCTGCTGAGTCTGGAGCTGCCGCGCGGCCTCGGCCGTACTTCGTTCCGCTCCTTCAGCAGGTTCTTGGTCTTTCTCCTCCAGTAGAGGGTCCACCGCCTGTCCAGTCGCAGCCCCTACTGGAGCCTTCCTCTCCGCTGCCTGCTCCCTCTCCTTACACTGGTCCTACTGGAGGTCTTGCTGAGCGTCGTGAGCCTGCGTCTCGTCCCGCGTCGCCTGTTCGTGCTGCTCGCGCTAGTGGTCGCAGTTCGCGTCAGCGTCCTCCTCCTGTCCCTGGCACGCACCGGATGTCTTTACGTCCGTCCACTGCTCCTCTGCGTGCCCCTTTGCCTTCTCCTCCTGAGTCCTCTCTTCCTGCGCTTGCGGACCCTGAGTCGGACTCTCTTCGTGCTGCCAGTCCCACTGTCACGCGTCTGCTTGCTACTGTCGTCACTGACCCCTCTTTTGAGTCCACTGCTGCGTCTGCTCTAGTCGCTGAGCTCGTCGACTTTGCTGCTCGCTGTCGTCTCGACTACGCTGCTAGTCTTGTTGCTGAGTCTGCGTCTGTCTGTCCTCCGTCCGTCGGGGGTGAGTGTGCTCTTGGCACGGACGTCCTAGAGGACAGGCAGGAGGAGTTACAGTGTCTAGCGGCTGCTTCACCTCATCTCGCGTCTGTACTGCTTGCCCCTGAGGGAGACCCGGATGCACTAGACATCCCGACTCCGCGTTCTTACGCGGAGGCCGTAGAGGGTCCCTACTCCTCTCAGTGGCAGGCAGCTATGGATGCAGAGATGGCTTCCTGGAAGTCCACAGGCACCTACGTTGACGCGGTTCCCCCTCCTGGGGCGAACATCGTCAGTGGCATGTGGATCTTCAGGGTGAAGCGGCCGCCGGGCTCTCCACCTGTCTTCAAGGCACGGTACGTTGCTCGTGGCTTCAGTCAGCGGCAGGGAGTTGACTACTTTCAGACCTTCTCTCCCACCCCGAAGATGACTACTCTTCGGGTGCTGCTGCACATAGCCGCTCAGCGCGACTACGAGCTTCACTCTCTCGACTTCAGCACTGCGTTCTTGCAGGGTAGCCTGCACGAGGAGATCTGGCTTCGCCGTCCACCTGGCTTCACTGGGACTTTCCCTCCTGGCACCCAGTGGAGCCTCCGACGGCCAGTCTACGGTCTCCGCCAGGCACCGCGTGAGTGGCACGACACACTGAGGACTACGCTTGCGGCTCTTGGGTTTGCTCCTTCTACTGCTGACCCGTCGCTGTTTCTTCGCACCGACACTTCCCTGCCGCCGTTCTACATCCTCGTGTACGTCGACGACCTGGTCTTTGCCACAGCGGACACTGCTGGACTCGCCTACGTGAAGTCCGAGCTGTTGAAGAGACACACGTGCACAGACCTGGGTGAACTGCGCAGCTACCTTGGCTTGCAGATCACTCGGGACAGAGCACGCCGCACCATTACCTTGACTCAGTCACACATGGTGCAGCAGGTCCTTCAGCGCTTCGGCTTCACGTACTCCTCGCCTCAGGCCACTCCTCTGCCTACTCGCCACTCACTCTCAGCTCTGCCTTCGGATGAGTCCGTAGAGTCGAGTGGTCCGTATGCGGAGCTTGTTGGCTGCCTCATGTACCTGATGACCTGCACACGACCTGACCTTGCATACCCTCTGAGCATTCTTGCACGCTATGTTGCTCCTGGGAGACACAGACCGGAGCACATGGCTGCAGCGAAGAGGGTATTGCGCTACCTGTGCAGTACGTCAGGCATGGGGCTAGTGCTTGGAGGGCGGAGTCCAGTGGTCCTTACCGGCCACGCGGACGCGTCTTGGGCTGACGACCAGGCTACGCAGCGGTCGTCACAGGGTTACACCTTCAGCCTTGGTTCCGGCTCTGTCTCGTGGCGGTCTACTCGCTCGTCTTCGGTTCTCGGCTCCAGTTGTGAGGCTGAGATCTACGCCGGGGCCATGGCTGCACAGGAGCTTCGCTGGCTCACCTACCTGCTGACTGACCTTGGAGAGCCGCCTCGTTCTCCTCCAGTGCTGTACGTAGACAACAAGGCTATGCTGGCCTTGTGTCGAGAGCAGCGCTTGGAGCACAGAACGAAGCACATTGCTCTCCGCTACTTCCTTGCTCGTGAGCTGCAGCAGCGTGGTCAGTTGCGACTTGCGTACGTGGCCTCTGAGGCCAACACTGCTGATGTGTTCACCAAGGCACTTGCGCCTTGTGACCATCAGCGCTTCTGCACCCAGCTGGGTCTTGTGCCTGTCTTGCCTCACTTGCTCTCCTCTTGACTTCACTTGTACTGTGACATATATATATATACCTGCTCTTGCTTGTCTAGCTTTGTATATATGTCTGTACTCTTGCTTGTGAACTGGCCTTTGGCCTCACTCTTGTGCTCGGACTGTGTGGTGACTTTGTGATCCACCCTGAGCTTTGCTTTGTCTTGCTTGACTGGTCTTGTGACCCCTTGTTCTCCCCCACTTTGCCTATGGGGGTGTGTCAGAACATATCTATAGCTTATACTGCTGTGTAGGCTGTAGTGGGGTATCCCATAGGGGGTACAACCCAGTTAGGGTTTCATATTTGTACTGCTTTCATTCATAGTTCATCCATTCCTGTTTTCCTACTATCACACCCGTGAGGTCGAAGGAAGTCCCGTGATGAAGTCGAGGCTAACGACCTGCCATGGCTGCTCCGGTACGGGTAGAGGCTGAAGTAACCCTGCTTTTTTCTGCTTGCAACTCTTCATCCGCTGGCACGTGTCGCAAGAGGTGATGAACTGCTGCACGTCTGCTGCCATCCCGGGCCAGTAGTAATACTTCGCTATCCCTGGTAACGTCTTGTTGCTCCCAAAATGTCCGGCATAAGGTACGTCGTGAAACTCCTCCAATAGGATCTGCCGTAGCGGGGCGTAATTCGGTACCCAAATCTTTCCTGAACCCTTCCTTTCAGCTAAGTATTTCTCCCACTATAACAACTTCTTGGTCTGTGCTGCAGCGATCTCTGTGTTCACGGAGTACCCATGTTGGAATAGACCCTTGAGCAGAGGGTTCATCCCGTCGAGCTGGATGCCTCAACGCATCTGCTTCGTTGTGTAGCCCGGGCTTGTAGACGATGTCGTAGTGGAAGTGAGTTTCCAGGAAGTCCACCCACCGCACCTGTCGTCGTGAGAGCGTCGGCTGTGACTTAAGGTATTTGAGACTGCAGTGGTTAGTATAGACTGTAGTCTTGGCTCCCTCTAGGTAACAACTCCACGCCTTGAAGGCTATGACTATCGCTAAGACTTCCTTGTCATGGATGGGGTAGTTCAGTTCTGCTCCGTGTAGCTTCCTACTGAGGTAGGCGATGGGCTGCAAACCACGTCCGTGATCCTGCATCAGTACTGCTCCGACTGCTTGGTCACTAGCGTCTGCTTCCACCACGTAGTCCTTGTCTGGATCCGGCAAGATGAGTACTGGCGCTGTAGTCAGTGCTGTCTGTAGCTGCTCCATGGCTTGCTGATGAGGAGTATCCCATTTGTAGGGCGTATCCTTTTTCAGTAGGTCAGTCAGTGGCGCTGCTATCTTAGCGTACTGTGGCACGAACCTATTGTCGTAGTTGGCGAAGCCTATGAACTGCTGCAACTCCTTCACGTTCTCCGGGACTTTCCACTTCTTGACGGCTTCGATCTTCCGCGGGTCCACGTGTACGCCCTTGGAACTCAACATGTGCCCGAGAAACTGCACCTTCTTCAGGGCGAAGTCGCTCTTCGACAACTTAACGTAGAACTTGTTTTCCCGCAGGATCTCGAACACCTTCCGCAGATGCTCCACGTGCTCCTTCATATTCTTGGAGTAGATGAGAATGTCGTCCAGGTACACCACTACGCACTCGTCCAACAGCTGTCCAAGGATATGATTCATCTCCGCCTGAAACGTTGCTGGTGCATTGCAGAGTCCGAACGGCATCACTAAGTATTCGTAGGAGCCGTATCTGGTACGGAACGCCATCTTGTGGATCGAGTTGTCCGCCATCTTGATCTGCCAGTAACCCGACCGTAGGTCCAGCTTCGAAAAGACTGTTGCACCACGCAGTTCGTCCAGTACGTCGTCTATGCGCGGTATGGGGTATTTGTTTTTTACTGTCTATTTGTTCAGTGCGCGGTAGTCGATGCACATCCGTAAATTGCCGTCTGGTTTTGGAGTGAAGAGAACTGGTGCACCGTAGGGAGAGGTGGATGGGCGGATCAGTTGTCTGTCCAGTAGATACTCTATCTGTTTCTTCATGTCTGTCAGTTCGGTCGGACTCAGTCGGTATGGTGCATGTGAGACGGGCTTCGCACCTGGTTCCTCCACGATCTCGTGGTCATGGGTGCGTGCTAGAGGTACGCCTTCGGGTAGGTCGTCGGGCATTATATCTTTGTACTGTTCCAAGACCTCCTTCACTGCTGCAGGTAGCTCCGAACTCGGCTTCTCCTCCTCTCCTGCTGCCAAGTAACCAGTGCTAAGTATCCCGTGTTACTCTCGTTCACTGTCTGTTCAAACCGTGCCAGTGTCGTTTAAGGAACGCTCCCTGTATCCGTCCAGCTTCGCAGCTCCACTCGTTTCCCGTTGTTGTAGATGCGCGCCTTCCTGTTGACCCAATCGATCTCGGGGTTGAGCCGCTTAAGGAAATCTCGCCCCAAGATGAAATCTAAACCCTTGATGTTCG